AAACTTGACATAAACCATATACCAAGAATACGACACAAACACGTGAACAAACACGAACACGACACAAACGCAAATATCACGAACGTGACACGAACACATTTTTCACGAACCTGACACAAACAAATTAACACAAACATGACCAAATTATTGAATAAATCTGCAGAGTCATCTGGATGGGAGTTTGGAGAGAATGATCGCAAGGGCATAATTCTGTATAAATTTAATCCTAAAATATCCACGAACAAAGATGAAATTGCTTTGGCCTTCCACACTTATAAAAAATCTGGAACGTTGATGAAAGTTAACAGTACATACAACAAAGATGATTATATACTCATCAAATTAGTTAGCGTTTTAGTTTTTAGAAATTAACGTTTTTTTAAGTATTTGCTGTAACGGCTAGCCTGAGACTTTGTGCTTTATGTGCTGGGCAGTTCTAGTGATGTCTATCTATTTTAATTAATGCTGGAATAGTTTCCAACATGCGGTTTGAGGAAAATTTGTTTGAACCACTTTGCACATAGTAGCTTAACCGGTATCTTGGATGATATCACATTTTTAGATTGTAATAAATGTCGCTGTGCCTGAAATTAACAATATATCTCAAGTGTTAATGTTTCTGTCAAATTTAAACTAATTATTTTACGATTTCTACACGTTAGGACGATGGCTTTGTAGTGGCAGATTTCATGATCGATGGAGAAAAATATATTATGAGAGATGATAGCAGAAGATACAATGATGGCAAGCACCACAGAGTTGTCTTCCTCAGGGAAGGAAACCGCGTGACGATGAAAGTTGATGATAGAGATTCACATTGGGAGGGTTAGTCGGGCTGTATCTGCAAAGTATACATTATAGTTAAACTGACAACGCATACATTTATAGTTTTTTTTATACGCAACTTATACACTCTAGTTGTAAATGCAGCGTTTACATTATAGTTAAATTAAATGGCGCGATGTATTTCCTCTATCCGTGGTGAGGAGTGTGTCCTTAGTAAAATTAGGAAAAGTTATGTAACATTTATATTATTACTACGTTTGTGAATAGAGAAAACATTAAACTTTGGCTTAATAACATGATGAAAATTTTCAGGAAAAATTGCGAAATCAAACGCTAAATTCGACGACATGACGCACGTCTTGCTCGGTGGAAATTTAGACGACAAAAACAACATCATTGATTATTTTACTGGCATTATATCTGGTTTGTTTTCGTTATGCAGTTTTAATACATTTGTGAAAATATATATACATTTTTTAATTCAATCACTGTTTTAAAGTTTCGCTGAATGTGTAGCTTTAAAAAAAATTGTTCAGCCAAACTGTTGCCAATGTCCACCCCTCTTTATCATAAGGTCAACAGATACAGATGTAATAAAAATGGATATTTGCTGATGATTTTAGTATCTTCAGAGGCTCATATACATTGAGAATTTTTTTTATTCTCGTTTATTTTAGTTAAGAAGTGTTATATTTCTTTCTTTTTAAATTGTTACTTCACTGAAATTTTGCACAAGTTATCGATGGGATCGCCTTTCTAGCTCTTCAGTCTTTCGTCTATTTCGTTTCGGTATTCTGGACACTTTTTTATTATGTATTTATATATATTAAATGAATTTGTAACAATTTTTATTACTTCATTTAAATTCTTGCATTGAAGCGACAATAAATTTTTTTGCACAGGTGTGTACATCAATGGTGTGCGAATATTTGATGGTCAATACACTAAGATAGGCGTTGTCGGAGTTGCAACTCATCCTCTTCGACCTTCCTTCCCTGAACCCGCCACGTATGATTTTTGTATATTGTATCAAGCGCGTGCTCTTCACTGGCTTCCGGTTTATCAAAGAGTTATTTTCAAGATATGTTTAACGGTTTTTAAATGTATTAAAGGAGTTGCCCCTAAATGTTCAACTTACAGAGTCATTCCTAGAAAAATGCCATTGCTGATTCAAACATTGCACTCTGACAATTCAGGTTTACTGTTCGTACCTGACACAAACTTTGCTTTTAGTCGAAGGAATTTTTCCGTGATGGGTCCTGCTGTCTGGAATAGTTTGCCTAGGGACCTTCGTGATCCTGCGTTGTCTGTTATTCAATTTCGTAAAAGATTGAAACACCATCTTTTTGTCCAAGTTTACCCGTGCTAATGTTTTTTCTCTCCAGTCACTGCATTGCTTTAATAAAGTGCTACGCATTGTACTGCAATAATCGTTAGCGCCTTGGAGATCTTTTTCAAAGGCGCCTACAAACACACCAATTATATATATTATACAATTATATACATATATATATATATATATATATATATATATATATATATATATATATATATATATAATTGAACTCAAGAAATTTGATGATAATGATTTACAATCTACCGTTAGAAATATCGAAAAAGCTAACTAACGCGTAACATACTGTGATGTTCATTAATATATATATATATATATTTTTACAATATTCTATAAATTCTACCGAATGTTTGGCGTTAATATGTTTGTAGTTCGTTTTTTCGATTTTTCTCACTAAAGTTTTTTGGTGAACGTTTAGTTTATTAAAATTCAAAATAAACTTATTTTTCGAATTCATGCTGCAAATAAGGCCATATTTCGATTCCGAATGAATCATCATCAGTGCTCCTTGCTGTATATATAGGGAAATATTGACTTTGTCAAGATGAACTTTGACGTTGTAAAAATTAACTTTGGTGTTGTAAAGTTGAACTTTGATGCGAATTAGGTGTCAGGTTTCTTTATTGGCTGGTCATCTTCTTTGGTCTCCTTTTCTTCATCGATAGCATCATATTCTTCTTTGTCACTATTTACAATGCTAGTTTTTATTACTTCTTTGTTTTCGTTGTTGGTTAAGCGCCGGGTTGGAAGTGAGGTTGTCATTTTTTGTTGTATATTTATTTTTGGTTTATTGATGTCAATTAGGACTGCTTCTGCAATTTTAAGATGCGTGTAGTTGCTGTTCTGGTATATTACTTTGGTGTTGCTGTCGAGGATTTCACGGCTAATTGTGATTGAGTGTGTTGAGTCCAAATGAAATTTGATAGCACCACTCTGTTTATGCATCGTAAGCCTTCTAGTCAGTGAGGTAGTAGTAATCCCGATATATGAGTCATGTTGACGTGCACAGCCGTCAAAGGGGCAATTAAATTCATAAATTACGTGATTACGCTTTAACTCAGAGTTATCTCTAGGACTGCAGTTGTTTGTGTATCAGAAGTCAACCGGCTTAGAAGGATATGTTTTATATAAAGATACGCAATTACTTGGTATGAAATCTGAAACAGTACTTGATAAGAAGAAGTAGAAAAAATTTGGTTGAAGAAAGCGGATGAGCGGAGGTGAACTGAAGTTGTTCTCATCCCAAGCTTGAGATCGCATCTCGGGTTTATTCCATTGTTGTTGTGGATTGATGGATTTTATTATAAAAAGATATTTAATTTTGTTGCTCTATAAAATATTTGCTTCTTGATGTGGAACTTAGGAACTTTATTTTGCTTAGGATAACGTTTAATTTTTATTATTTTTCGGTATGATACAACGTAATACGATGTTTGTTCTTAGCAATGTTGTTTGGTTGAGTTCTAGGATTGTACGTAAAAACTACCCTTTCTTCAATATAAAAATAACCAGCCCTCAAATGAAACAAACGAAACTACCGGTTATCAATAAATAAAAATTTGCACAAGAAATAAAGTACTTTTAATATTTCGTTTTGATCTTTGATGGACTGTTTTGTGTTTTCATTGAAGGAAATATTTGCTTTTGATTACTAATCAGTTATTAAAGTTGATTGGAATATCGTTGACAGGCCAAAAGTTCCTGATGTTTCGAAAGCCACCCTTCCACCATACGTCAAACCAACAGTTCCTGTGGTTCCTGATCCGGATGAATTGGAGCCTCCAAAGCCGGAAGCGGTTGTTGGTGTTCCTCCTGTCTACGATCCTCTTGTCGGTCCGAGAGCAGCAGTGGCAGCAGGAACCGTGTTGGGTGTTCTGTTGTTAGCATCATCAGCCATGTGGGCATTTCACAAAATGAAACCGGGCAAGTTTACTCTCGCCTCATCCCCCAAGCCTCAGCCGGTGGTTGGCAGCCCCACTGAGGGCCCTGAAAAGCCTTCATTGCTCGTTAGTATCTTTTGCTTTTCCAGTTTTCTGCTTAATCATTGTTAACCTTTTGCTATGTTTATATAATTTTTTTTTATTTTCTCTAATTATTCGTGATAATTTATTGATGCGGAATGATTTCTGGACAGGGGTACAGCATAACAGACGGTGCGGAAGCTCACCCATTGTTGCCCGTCAATACAGCTGCTGTAACTGCCAACACCTCGGGCATGACTGCATCATCTAACATGGGGGCAGCCAGTGCTGGTGTCAATCAATCCATCACGTATTCTTACGAACATAACCAAGTCAGTTCTTTATCGCACTGAAATGATGATGATTTTACTTTATACCATCTTAAGTTGTGTTGTGGTTTTCTTTTACTGATGGTTATTTCAGGTATATTTTATAACTTTGCACTATCTGCTAAGTCGTTGATGCCGTAAAATTGTGAATCACTATTCTGATGCACAGTTCCTCACTTTTCATTTCATACTTATTTATGACATATGTGTATATATAATTATTTCATATTTATTTATGACATATACATATGGCAGACACATATGACAGACACACACACACACACACACACACACACACACACACACACACACACACACACATATATATATATATATATATATATATATATATTATATGTATATATATATATTATATGTATATATATATATATATATATATATATATGACAAACAAACAAACTGATTTACCAAATTTAATAAACTGATACTAAAGCAAGGAACAATGAAAAACAACAACAGGTGTTTTCCCAGCAAGGTCTGCCTCTGGAGATGAGCCAGTCTTCAACACCTGGCGGCCACTTTTCAATGAGGAATGTTGATCTTTCTTACGGAGGATTCAACCAGCAGGATATCTTTACTCAACAGCAACAACAGCGCATGTTACAACAACAGCAACATCTTTTCAACACCTCAACACTCGGTTCGTTGTTTTTTGTCGTTGATTTGTCTTCTAGTTGGTTTTAGTGAGATTTTGTATTGAAAAGAATGCATCCTAGCAAACAGTGGTGTTTCATCTTTTAAGTGAATCAACCGAAAAACTAAATTCTCAAGATAGTTCGATTTATATTGAGTTAAGGGGTTATTTAAAAATTTATAGGGAAAAATTAAAAAACTTCTAGCCCGTAAATTATAACATTAAAATGAAATAACTTCGAGGGTGTGTAATTCTTGTAATATAATTATATAATATAGCGTCATATAAATGTTTCATTGGTGGTATGTTGTAGTGTTCTGCGTGTTGTCGGTGTCTTTGAGAATTTGAAAAATGCAAGAGAGGGAAAAAGAAAGAGAGAGAGGGAGAAAGAGAATAGAAAGAAGGGAGAGAGGGAGAGAAATGGAAAAATTAGAAAACAAAATTTGAATTTACCCAGCATCTTAATGAATTAATGAATGAATGAATGAATTAATTAATTAATGCAGGTCAGTCATCAACTATGAATAGAAATTTGATGGCAGCTGAAGAAATTCGTGTTGATTGCGTACAGATGACCAACAATGGGAGGTACGTTGTGACTGGCTCCAACTGTGGTCCTCCACAAGTCTGGGATCTCAAGGTCAGTTCCAGTTCTCCTAAGTGTTGTTGTTTCTTGTTAGATTGTTTAGTGATTGGGTGGCTGTTTTGTAAGATGGTTTAGTCCTGTGTTATCTGGATGTTGTTGTTTTGTATGGTTGTTTAGTTCTGTTTGTGTTTCAATGGTGTTGCTTCATCTTGCTTGAAGTTGTTTGACATATCCTTTATTGTATTTTCTTATAAACATTAAATGACCATTTAATTTGTTTTTGAAAAAGAGATAATTTTTTAGATTTAACATTTTCATTATTTTTTTATGATAAAAAGCTTAAACCTTCATTATTAATATCAAAGTTTGATCAATTTTTTGTGTAACAAAACTTGATATTGATTCATTCATCTGCTGCTCCTAAATTAACACCCAACAAACCAACCAGCTAACCAACCCATCAACTAACCAAACAATCAACAGTCAGGTGAGCTTGTGAAGGTAATGAAAGGGGATGAGTTCAGTTCCACGGACCTTCACCTTGCCAATGGAGACACCTTGTTGGTTGGTCAAGTTGCTGAGTTGGAACCTGTTGATGTCGTTGATGGCAATCGTGTTCATCAAAGAAGGCTTCAGGTTGGCGATTGTGGAGATGTATGATGTTTATGATATGGAATGTCTGGCGAGTTTGCTGAATGAAATGGTAGAATGGCTGTCTTGAAACGTTGTTAAAATACTGTTTTTCCAAGCATAATAACACTTTGCGTTTGCGAAGTCAACTCAAATCCAGCAATACGTATCAAATGAGTTTCAATACATAAATTGAAATCCAGGTTTGGGATTTTGAAACCGGCAAGCCGATAGAGATGAGTAGAACGGAAACGTGTACAGCCAGCTGCATGATGAGTGATGGAGAGAGGATGTTGCTCGGCAGAACTGATAGGTTTGGAGGGGGGACCACAATCATCATCTGGGACATTCTGGCCAACGAGCCTGTTCGACAAATCAAATGTGACTCTAGTGTTGGCTTTGCTGATCATATCAGGTAAAGAAATCACTTCTATCGCTATGTCATTGCAGTTACTATTGTTTCCTGTTGAATTAACATATTTACTGCATTAAATACAATTTTTTCCCATATCTTCTATTGTTTTATTTGACATAAAAATTGTAAATATTTTACATTAATATCTTACACTTCTAGCTATTTGAACGTGACGAAAGACAGCCGATATGTGATAGCAGGTTTCCAGAACACGTACGACGGTACGGCTAACTACGTAACCTTTGACCTTGCATCAGCTGATATTAATGCTTCGGGCATGAGGGTGTCTTCGTTGGATGCTGACGTTGATGTGACGACGCTGTTGAACGACAAGGAGGCAGTGACTGGTACGAGGAAAGGAGAGCTGATCGTGTGGAGTGTGAAAACAGGCAAGCAGCTAAGAAGTCTGGGAGGAGGTGCAATGTGTCACAACGGGGAGGTGAAGGATGTCGTTGTCAGCAAGGATGGTCAGTTGCTGGTCTCTGCATCAACTGATGGTACGATCAAAGTTTGGGACATTGACAGTGAAAGTCTCCTGCATACGCTGACTGGACATAGAGATGAGGTTGATATATCGGCTGGGTGAAATTGTCGACCTTATTAGATATCTTATACAATCAAATATTTACAGTTGTTTTTTTTCCTGATAGGTGTGGTGCTGTACTCTTTCGCCTGACAATGAGCTGGTTGGATCCGGCTCGAAGGATGGTACAATCAGGTTGTGGAAAGTATCTGACGGCACGTCTGTGGCTGCTATTGACGCTGGCATGACTGTTTTTAAGGTAATGTTATGTTATCATTAATTTCATAACGTGGTTTGAAACAGTGGACATAGTTGGTCGGGTTTCAGAGTAATAAAACGTAACATATAATTAGAGCCAAAGATAAATTTAATTAAATTTAGCGTGAAAACAACTTTTTACAACGTTTTAATTGCTGTTTTGAATGTAAAAAATGGTTCCTTCATTAAACATCGGTAGTAGTTAAACTCAAATGAATAAATAAACCAACTTAATTATGTCAGGTGCTGCTGAGCAACAACAAGAAGACGGTGGTTGCATTGGCCGACAAGGGAGGCGCCAGGAAATTAATTATGTTACGCGTCGTCAGATCAACTGCTACAATCGATCGAAGGAATCAAATTGTCAGGGCATGAGTGCATTGCCTCTGCAACACTTTATTTCAAGGTACCTCTTTTGTTCATATCTATTTTATTTGGTGACTATCATTGAATCTTTTTATTCATCAATAGATGATTTAATCTAAATTTTTATTTGCATTCTTTTTTTTAATTTTTTTTTAATTTTTACTTTTTGCAGGATGTTTATCGACTTGTTTAGAATCACATGCGGCTTTGTACAATTTTTTTTATTTCCCTATTTGTATCTACTAATTTTATGGCTACCAATTTGTTAAATAAGTTTGTATGGAACGACAAATTTGATGTATCGATAGTTTTATTTATTATTGTTAACAAAGATCTTGTCGCTTTTTGTTACAGTTAACGAGATGTTTTCAAATTTTTCAAATCACATGCTTAAGCTTTTTTTTTTTCAAATATTTTATAAACCATTTTGAATACAGTTTTTTCTTTTTAGTAGTAGTGTTGATGTTTTTTTTGAACTGAGAAACAAAACTCTTTTGAATGTAAATATTTTTTCTCGTAGAATATTTAAAAAAATTACGATCTTAGTATTAATAGGGGATCTAATTTTTATAGCAGAATTTTTAATTTAAAAAAAATACGATCTTAGTAAAAAATATGATCTTAGTATTAATAGGGGATCTTTTATTTTTTGTGGCAGAATTTTTAATTTTTAAAAAATATAATCTTATTGGTGATCTGATTTTTATAGCAGAAAGTTTTATAAAACCTTTTGCATCAAATTACTGTAGCCTACGTTAAATGGTTTTAAAAGTATTACAAATATTATCATGAATAATAGTTACTTTTTCGTTACTTATTTGCTTGGAAATATAGTTGAATTAACACATTTATTGTTCAATAATTAAGAGAAATGATTGTCATTTAAATGATTCTCTACCGATCATTGTTAGTGCATTGATATGTCATTAATTTATTTATGTGCCTTAGAACCTGAATCTTTTTATTGAATTGCACAAATTTACGTGGATTGTTAAAATTTTTGGAATATCCCATATCAATGGCAATGTCTATGACATTTTTTTCATTTTTCATTCTACGATCATGTAGCCTCTTTTATACTGTTCTCAAAAGATTTTGGATATTTTTTATTATTTAAATTTTGTTGAAATTTCAATACAATTAATAAAAATTATAATTTTTTCATTTGTTTTCAAATTTTCCAAAGATAACGACTTAAAAAGATGTTGAAGTGCCATTACGTTGCTACGAATCAGGTCATTTCAGTCAGCGTTAAACATCCGCCACATTTTTCCTATATTGTAACACAGATAGAAAATTGGTTGATTGCAATTTTAACACCTCACAGACCGGTGTGTTAAGATGGTTAAAGTTAAATACGAAAAAATGAATTTTTCGTTTAAAAATAAATAAAAATCTTTATTCGGTAACAAATTTTCAAAAAAACATTTTTGAGAGATTTACCGGCCTATTCCAAAGGCCCTTTAAAATTTAATTATTTTAATCTTTGGTCCAACATTCATAGAAATATCAACTACTAGCATTTCCATTTAACGATAAAGTGCAAAGCTTAGGGAGGAAGGTGAAAGTTGCACCATTGCTAAGTAGCAATTTTTCAGGTCGCGATCAATCACCACCGTTTGACGTTTTTTTTACTGTTGGTGGCTAACGTTGGTATTGTATGACGCGCCGGTTTAATTTTTATTAATATTTAGATCGTCCATCGCAAAATGTAGAAAATGCATGCATGACTTAGGATGTTGAATTAGCCTTGCTTATAAAATCACTGATTTGTTGATGTTCACAAAATCAAGTGATTAATCATTTGGGTGTAACGGGTTGTAAATTTGTTGTTGATTTTCGTGAATATATAAGCATATAAGCATCACTCCCCTAATTCTTTATTATTATGAAGGGCTGATTCGAGCATTAATAGTCAAAGTTACATTATAATTTATTCAGCGTTAATTTTATGTGTTCTTAAACAGTTTCTCACAAGCAGGACTAATTTAGGACTCACTTTTTCTGACGTGCAGAATGGTGTGGCTCGTCTCTGAATTACAAGACGCTGACAACCAGTCTGACAGCAGCATTTAAAACAGAGTACGTCATCCTGCAGCGATAAGTTGATCTCATAAGTTATCATTTTAAATTAAAAGAGTTGAAACTTTAATTAAACAGACGTGAGCTTTGCTGAACCAAATTTTGGGCTTTCATCGATAATAAAAATATAAATCCATTACTACAGTAATAATTGATAACTTGTTGTTTAAGATTATCTTTTTTTTCATAGAAAACATCACTATTATCCACGTGTAATGTGTAATTTGTTTAACGTCTAGACCTAAGCTGAAGTATGCTGTCTTCCAACTAGGCTCAACGCATTTACCGAATTTACTACGAATGATATATTTAATGAGTTTAGTAAAACAAAACCACCAAAACAAATCATCCGCGTATAAATAACAGCGAATACAGGAGGCTTTTCCAATATTTTTGGCAAATTTACGATTTCGTTGAAGTGGAAACGGCGACGGGGCACTGGCGATGCATGTTAATTAGAATGAGAATAATCGAGAATTAGCCTATGTTCAATTCAGGTCAGACAAAATAACGTGAGACCATGGAAAGCTCAATAATGAGTCAAAACTCCGTGACGTACGACTTCGTAATTAGCAATCAACCAACCTCACTAAGTTCCTCTAATTATTAGTGTTATTATTGTTTTTATTTGGTTGTGAAGGATATATGTATAAAAAAAATGTATGTAACCTTGAAATATTCTATTTACTTGAATGTGCTTCAGTTCAGTCAATTTTATTCAGTTTAATGCGACCTGTTTAACAGAACGGAGTATTACAAACATATACATGCTAGTAAGATTATATAGTCATATACATGACTCGCCGATCATGGATTCAAAGTCAACATCAGTAAAACCAAAGCAATGAACACTGGTGAACCCTTCCAATCCACAGCTACTGGACGAGGGCCTGTTCAGTTTGTAAAGATGGTGTAGGTAACAATTCAATCAAGTGTCATCAGTGTAACCAGTGGTATCACAAACGTTGTTCAAAAATAATTGGTACTTTATCTAAAGTGTCCAATTTTGTTTGTCCTGCTTGCATCAATCCACAACAACAAATTCGAAATAGCAATGTTTTTGAAGCCATTAAGGTAGAGAAAGTCACATCGTTTCAATATCTAGGAGATGTTCTGGATTGTACTGGAACAGCTGAAGCTGCCGTTCGAGCACGCATACGTGCAGCCTGGAATAAATGGCATCTCCTTGCCTCTATATTGATGCGGCGTGACATTCCACTACCACTACGATCAAGATCTTATAAATCTGTGATACGTCCGGTGTTGTTATATGGTGCAGAAACATGGCCAATGACAACCAAACTGGAACAACTTCAACGAACCGACATGAAAATGCTCCGATGGATGCAACAAATTAGTCTGAAGAACCACATCAAATCTACCAAAATCCTGCATCGTGCTGGTTTAGATGATATAAAGGACGAATGCCGGCAACACCGTCTGCGGTGGTTTGGTCATGTCAAACGAAGTGGAAACAGTGCCATAATTTCTCTTGCAGATGTTGAAGTACCTGGCACACGTCCCAAAGGCCGTCCAAAGAAGTCCTGGTCGCAAACAATCGAGCAAGACATGAAAGCTCTAAATTTAAATGAAATGGATACAACTGATCGTCTAATAAAGAAAACAACGTCCTACTTCGGGCAACCGGGTCTCTGGACGCAAAACGAAGATTGATTGATTGATACATGCTAGTAAGAAATAATTATTCTTAAACACAATTTCATAGAACGATGTCCATATTTTTATTTTTTTAATCGGTAAATGAAATTGCACTTGCGCCTGATTTTCTAAAGGTTGTTAAGTTGTTAGGTAAACCATCTAAAATTTAAAAAAGTAAAACATACCAAATGTGAAAAATAAAATAACGTAGAAAGGTAATTTCTTATGAAATCACGATTAAATAAAAATTTAAAAAAAACATGTCTAATATTTAAAACAAATCAATATCTTTTGTTGAGTAACGGGAAAACATGAATGGTGAAAAAATATCACCAGCAGGTTACAATTTGTTGACTTATAAAATCTGCTGTCCAACTCGTTTTAAAGTTGGCTACAGAAGTTAGGTCAAAAATTGCCTAAATTATTAAAAGTTGAAAATTCGTAGAAAAGTAGAGGCCAAAAAATCTAGCCACGAGAAGATCATTGTAAAATATGTTAAAATCTAAAATTATTAAATACACTATGCTCTGAATGTAATGTTCGAATAACATCAAAAATATTTGCAACACAAACATAAAATTATCTAAATGCTGGCTGGACAATCATTATAAAAAAAATACTTCAGAAATAATTAAATTTTGTTCGTGAAAAAGTTAAAAATGAAATCAGAATGTCGTTGAAGGAGACGTAAAGCTAAACCCTTCAAATATATCTTGATTGATGCTCTGGATTAGATGTTTGTTGGATGGCTGGGTCAGTTTTGGAGGTTCTCTCGTAAACTCCATCTCAAAATTACTCACATCCATGCGGCCGCGCTGTGGCGATATTGAATGAATTGAATCAATTTAAAATCTTTTTGAAAGAATATTCTTTAAAATTTACACATAAAATAATAAAGCAAAGAACTTATCAAATCTGTGTGCACCCAATGTTTCTCGTAGTTGTTATTGCGCAGTTGATACAATTATATATTGTTTAGCAAGTCGTATTGTTGACAGTCGTTAAGTTAATTGAGAGAGCACTTACAGTGAGAGGTTTGAAAGGAGGTTTCATGGAGAGGTTTTCATAATTTTGCCATACAACATCTTTGAAGAAGAGATGATTTCTGATTAAGCCCCAAGGAGAAGAAGGCATACCCAGCCTGTTGTTTGCATCCTTGTCGAGCAGCTGGTATTTTAATTATGATATTATTTACGAGTGCGGTGTAACTTAGCTTACATAAAACAGGTGAGTTTAAATGAAATAATATAAAATAAACTATATATATTATTATTATTAAGAGCAATTTGTTAGCGCTAATTAAAACTGTTTCTTGAGCGCTCACATTAAAAAACAAAATGTACGTGTCTATATATGAAAAACAAAAATTAAAAAAGTGACAATTTTTACAGTTTAACAAAAAATAAAAATGTTTTCATTTTTTTTTTAAATAATTCCAGATTTTCTCAACGCCGGTGCAATATGATATATATATATATATATATATATATATATATATATATACATACATACATATGGAACATATATATATGTATATATATATATATGGTCGGCTTACAACGTTTTCCAAAGTTTTTCACTTGCTAGATTCCTCCTGAATCCATTTAGTTAGCATAGATATAAAAAATGGATCAAATTATTTGATTCAAATTTTGTATAAATAATTAAATATTCAATATTTTAGTTATTTAATTATTTCTATGTTTTATTATTTTGTTATTAGTGTTTTAATGTAAATTTTTAGAAATTTTTCAAAATGACGAATGAAATATCCTACCTGGCTGATGCAGAGATACGCTGGAGACTCCATTTTGATAATTTTGGTGGCTTTCATTGGATGCTCCAAGATGCTTTTAAACATTTCATCTTCATTCTTGCCATGGAAAGGTAGTTTGCCTTCCAGCATTTCGTACAGCACCACACCGAACGAGAACCAGTCAACTGATTCGTTGTATTTCTGCCCTCTTATTATCTTTAATATTGAAATGAGCTTGTATTAATGTTCAGTCTGACAAACCGGGCTTAAAATTAAGTTATAAAAAATACAAATTAAAAAAATTAATGACAAAAACCTCCGGTGCCAAGTAATGAGGAGTGCCACAAAAAGTAGCAGTCCTTTGAGAACCAGAGCAATTTTCTTTACACATGCCAAAGTCGGCAATCTTTACGTGGCCCTCTTTGTCCAGAAGCACATTATCCGGTTTCAAATCCCTAACAAGTTATATTATGTTAGTTAATGTTTGGTATAAACAAAACGTTAACCATAGAGACACGATTTGAATGAATGTAAAATGGTGTTAAAAGAACGAAAAAATTTTCAAATACGAAATTCTTCCAAATATGACGTACTTACAAATAAGATATACCTTCAAATAAGATATACTTTCAAATAGGAAGTAATTTAAAACACAAAGTACTTATAAGCTACTTCATACATACAACATACAAATATAACAAACGTTTATGATATATTAAATTAAAAATTAATTAAATTATTAATTAATTAAATTAATAAAAATTCTCAAGCAGAATAATCTCAATACGATGGGCAACCACTACCTGTAAACAACTTTTTTCTTGTGAAGAAATTGCAATCCACAAATAAGTTCAACAGCGTAAAACTTTGCTTGGTCTTCCTTAAACCTTCTGTTGCGTTGTATGTGAAACATCAGATCCCCACCGCTCAAATACTCCATCACGAAAAATAAGTGATTCTAAAATGTGTATAATGTGTGGTGTGATCATATAGAGTAACACAAAAAAAAACTTTTATTGAAATACATTAGATTTCCGAAATATATTCCGAAATATAAATGATATTATCGTCATTGATTTCGACAATTTACTGCCGCACAACCCAGGTGCGAATCGATGCATCGCACACTTTTCAGTCAGGCACTTCCTTCCACTGTTGAGCCACACATCATCCTCATCTTTATTTTTTCATCAACACCTAATCCTAATTTTTATTATCTCATCATCGTTATCCTCTTTATCAATTCAATGCCAGATTTCACTCATTATATTATCCTTAACATATGACCTTGAGAAATTATTTTTGCAAACATTCGTCCGATACATGGACAGAAAATGTTTCGCAATCGTATATTGTCACAACGCAATCAAAATCATCATAACAATCAATTTCAACATGCTAGCATCATTCAACAATAACATCAACATCAGTACTTTAACAGTGTTTTCATGTTTTCCAATGGCATCAGCATCAACATATATATTTGCACAAAAGAAACTGACCGAAGTTTGGAATGTACAGATGAGCTTTGTGATGAATGGACACTGGTTGCCAAGCTCCAGGACCCTTCTTTCGACCAGGGTGCTTTCCACGTCATTGTCTTCAAGCACAACATCTTTTTTCAAAACTTTCATCGCATACAAATCACTATCTGCCTCGTTATTCATTTCGACCAGTAGCACCTATTCAACGAGTAGGCCGATATTTCGCGAGTGTTTGACAGTTTACGTGTTATAATGTCAATATATCATTATAACATATCATATAACATATAAAATATCATTAATAAATATAATAATTAAAAATGAGTGAGAAATATAGATGTAAATTTATTTTGAGCTACAAAACAATTCCACTGACCTTTCCAAAACTACCCTTGCCCAGAACTTTGAGCATTTTGAAGTCATCAACGGCAAACTTTTTGGTTTTCTGTGAACATCATCGATATTTAAAATATCGTGGGCTTACGCTATTTTCGTAAGTAAACCAACAAACAGAACAAAAACATTTTATAAAATAATATTATTTTGATAAGTAATGGTAGGAAGATTATGGAAGAAGAATATTAACCTTTGTCGGTTCAGGCATGATGAATATAGAAGTCCTTTTCGATTTTTTTGTTGCTAGAGATGGACTGATCTGATGGAGAACCATCTGACTGGTTCGTTTCGAATCACTTCTTATGCCTGACATGTGCACGGAGCACGGTTGCTTCATTATATCATCCCTGCATTATTATATGTACTGTACATCATTATAGCATCCATGCATTGTTACATGTACATCATTATATCAGCCATGCACTATTACATGCATTATTGAATTATGAATGATAAATATAATGAAACCAAGTTTGAAACCAAATATAATATATTTGTTGTGTTAGAACTGAGTTACAAATTAATCATAAAATGTTAAAACGAAAGCAAAATACTAAAAAAAGGTAACAACACCAAAAGAAGAATGACCAACTAACTCATCGGTGCTACTTTCGCTCAAGAGGGATTCTCTCAGATTGATGGATGCCAGTTCGCTTGAAAGAATGCTGTAAACGGTGTCGATGCTGGCCTTTTCTAGCTGAGTCGCTGTAGATGAAAAGGATGAGGCAGCAGAACTGTCTATCGATTTAGATGGAGCTTTTGATGGAGGAACCCTTCGAGTCACTTCTGATGATTTTGAACAGGGGGCAAGTTGTTTCCCGGGCGTCAGAGACAGGTTGCTGTTCTTGACAGTCTCAAGAAGCTCATTAAGTATCTTCTGATTGATTCCACACAAATTCGGAACAAATTTGTAACATTTTTTGTGACATGTAGCTCCACATTCTGTTTTTTTTTTAAATTTCTAATGAAAATTCATGTTCCATTAAATCGTAAATGTTAAAAAAAATTACTTGGTGTACCTTGGAAATTAATATTATTATAAAAATGCATGTATCTTTATTTACGTCCGCATCTCATAAAATGCAGTAAATTAAATTAAAGCTATACAATTATTCCATAACATCACAAAAGCAACGTTGCCAAAACAATCACACTTATTTGCAATCCATTCCTTGTTACCAGCGCAATCTCCCCTCGGCATACAATTCTATTGAAAAAAAAATAATGAAATAACTAAATAATCTTTTTACCTTCACATTTCAGTCCTTGTTTGAAAAGGCCGAAAAGCATGGATCCACAGTGGTCGCAGAAGGTCGGCGACATGAAGGAGTTCAGAACGAAACGATGTGGTATGTTGATGTTGAATCTCTCAGACATCAACTGCATTTGTGTTCATTATTAGTTAGAACCATCCTTATTCCATTTTTTAAACTTCGTTGGCAATTTATGTTGTAATTTAATTTATATTTTTACTGCAAAATTGTTAAATAAAATTACTTCATTAGCATATATCCAAATAGACAAGCATGCTTCATTCACGTGTGAATGTATTTATTAACTGGTAAATAAAACACTAAAAAGAATATAAAAAAGAAAGTTTAGTTTACGGCAAAGCGAAAATCTACACATTTCGGTTAAAATTTCCTTTACAAAATTACATGAAATAATAAAATAAAACAATAAAAATACATAAAAACACATGGACAAATGAATAAATTAGTAAATCAATAATAAAAAAATCGACATGCCATGGTCTCTTTGCTGTTCTTGGCACTGCCAGGACACCTACTGATCAACTTATCATGGCATTTCTCGTGCACGGCGCACTTGCAAACTGTACAGAACATTTTTTAATTTTCGTCCATTTAAATTTTTATTTAAAACATTTTAATTTTAATTTTTTAAAATTCAAAGTTATTTAAAACAATAAAATGAAATGTGACCATGAACGATTAGTTAATTATCATTAGGATGGAAACAGTCAATTAAAAAATGATTTTCAGGATGTTTAGCTTCAAATAGACAGAGAAAACAGATCTGAGAGTAAGTTAATGCAGCTAATGCGTGCAACTTCTTACTCTATTACTACTTTTTTTGCTAATACTACTAATGGTAGTATTAATTATAACCGGTGACAAAAATGATGATAACAATAATAACAATAACAATAATAATAAGTTAGCATTTAAACATAAATATAACGTAGAATGCAAGAAGTACACCTTGGCAGTTAAATCCTTGCTTTGTGAAGCCCCTTGATGAAAAACAATGAAATGAAATGTCAATTCAGTAAGTTACAACGTCACGTCTTGTTTAGTTCAACTGCTAAACATATTTCACGTACATTTTCTAAAAAATCCACGGCTTTTTTTCCGTTAACCAAATCATCGTCGTCGTAATAATTTAAAAAAAATTTAATGATTATATTCTAATTCCTATTACATTGACACTTTAACCATTACACTGTCGCATCGCGCACATATACATATGTAATATAAGTTATATATATATATATATATATATATATATATATATATATAAAACTTATAAAGTAAAATATAATAATTTGAAAAAATTGTGTAAGCATAGATGGAGGATGAAAAAATTCTACCATAAGAAATCTGAGCAGTATGAACAGAAGGTTGGTGTCTTGAAGAATATTTTTATAAACTGGTGACCATTGTGAGTGAATATTTTCTGTTGACGCATGGCAAGCCTCCTCTGTGCGGACATGTATATGTCATCTTCCTCGTCCTCATCTTCAAATGGCTCTATGACTTTCGGTTGAGTTGATTTTATTATTTGTAAAACAATTAAAACTTAAAATTTCTATTCAAGTAGAATAGTTCAGCAGAATATCAATAAAAAAAATCCTTAGTGAATTTTCATGATAAAACATTTTAAGAGTGTTATATGGTAACCAAATTTAACAAGTTGAAATGCAGACTCAATTTTTGATCAACTCTGCTATCTTCTTTGCTGGCAAGCACTGTAGAGTCTTGTTCGTTTTTGAAGTGTCTGACCAACATATGTATCTTACCAGTTGGGTTCAAGTCAAGCTTATGAAATGAAATCGTTTTGCAAATTAACCAGCGTTTTTAGTTAACGATAACTAGTCTTACAATTTGTTGTTTGACAATAACAGGGATAAACTTCAAATGAAACAACAACAAAACAATAATAAATGAAAGCAAATCTAACAGTAACAGTATTCCAATCATTGAACTGATGGCAGTAGTTGGAGAGTATGTGCACTCCGATCATGACCTCCGCCACCTGCTGCTTGCTGCTGTTACTAAGGATGCCAATGTGAACCAGTCTGCGATCGTACAAGTGCGAATCAAAAAACGCATTCCACTCCAAACGCAACGTTCGTCGGTTTTGAATGAAGGATAAGTTGCCATCAACTGCGCAAAAAAGTTACATGAATTGAAATTTTTCAACAAATCGATAATTCACCTAGAAAGTTATTAAGTTGATTTAGTTCACACTTTCTGAGCTATTCGACTTCTAATTAAAAGAGCAATTACTACAGAGTCATTTCTCAAATGCTTTCATTTAAAGTGATTGTTCACAGTTTGCCACATACATTTATATTTGTGCTATCAAATAATACTCTGCACAGGACATGAAAAAAATTTTGCACAACAAAATCAAATCTATGAAATTGTAGCTTTGCAGGTTTATAAAAAATGTAGATGTAAAATAAACTGCACTAACTTACTGATATGATAGGTAATGTAATAGATGAACATATTTTTTTGTATTTATATATTTTTTTATTCAATGAAATTGAAATTGAAATCGAATTAAATTTTTTTAATAAAAATACCATTTTCTTTTGCCTCTTTGATTCTTATTTCAATGTAAGTGTTGTTCGTTGATAGCTGATTCCCTTCCAAGTTCAATAATTTTACTCTCACAAAGCCAGCCATTTAGAAATGATGATAAACTTTAACAGATTTGTAGAGAACCAACAGTGGATGACTGAATATAACACCACAATAATGAAGTTTAATAATTTTCAAAGAAAATTAAAAAAAAATACAAATCCATTATTTATATTAAAACAAAACAGTTTATTAATTAAATCATATATGAAACAACATAAAAGTATATATATTTATTTATTTATTTTATAATTTTATATTATATAATATGACATCTACAATATAGTAAATATAGTTTTTTTTACATATAGTGCATACTTACATATAAATATAAATGTATATACATATATAATTGTGGATGATGAATGAATGAAGACACCACCGAACAATCAGGTAGGCCAGTCAAGTCCAAAAATAAATCTACATTCAATCAATTAAACTTCCTAGTTACGAACGGACGAGTAAAAGTTAATTAAGCAAAAACCCCCAAAAAAAACAAATAATATCGAGGTTACAATTCTAATTATATGGGTTACAACATGTTATATATATGTATGAATATATATATATGTGTAGAATATATACATATATATTAAAATTATATACACTTAAAATAAAATATTATATATATATATATAAATATATATATTATCCGTTTTTTCCGTTATAAGCTTCACTGGATGCGAAAGCACCGCCAACTTGACGTCACGTATAGGCCGCAATGGTTACAAACTGTAAGCATGCTATAAAATGTTGCATAGTCGTATACATGTTGCAAACATTTTTTTGATTATTCTTTAAAATTCAGAATCTGACAGACGCAGAGACTGTTACAACATGCAAGGTAATAGAATGATAACGAAAATAATTAATAACGGAGTAAGAACGTTCAAGAATGAGAAGATGGAAAATGATTTTAAAAAGACGAATAAATAAAATAATTATGTAACTATTTAAGGACTTAGTGAGTAAGTTATATAGGCGATAAGAGAAGGATGCTGCTTCGTATTCTAGATATATATATATATATATATATATATATATATGTGTGTGTGTGTGTGCGCGCGTATATATGTATATATAATATATATATGTGTGTGTGTAATTATATTTCTGAAAACCACATCATCATAGACATCGTTGAATTATTAATATCTAAAATTGGAGCACTGTTTTTTTTCTTTTTTCATAAAAAAGTTAAAATACAATATTTAATAAAAGTAATTTGAACTCATTAACTGCCTACGAAGAAAGATGGTTGCGTCAAAACTTGATACTTCAATTAAATTAAGAGAGCGCTTTTGTAAATTTATATATAACAAATACACGATTCAAACGGTTTTGATGACGAACGCAAAACGTATCACTCCTTAGCAACTCCCTACCCAAAATTCATATTGTGTGCTATGAACTCCGACTGTGCCAACCATTTATCATTGAATATCCGGTACACAGATTCACAAACAAGTAACGCAAAGTAAACTCGTAAGTACTGCGCCACGAACGATCTCTACAACTTTGCATTATGTGTGGCCGACTCAATTATTTTCATTA